ATGAGGTGTGAGGCTGTGGGGTGTCAGGTCCTCTAACCTGGGTGAGGGACATTGCCACCTGCCATAAGATAATAAATACAGCATGAAGCCAGAAAGGTTGAGAACATAGCTTACACCAGTTGTGCCTTCTATTCYTACTAGGTAGTATGGTTAAAGGGAGATGGGCACTTCTGGTGTAAATGCAGTACTATTCTCAAAAGTGTAATTTAGTTTTAGACCAATATCAAAATTGTGCTGCTTCTCATCTTTCCCTGTCCCTCCACGTAAAACAATTTAATTTATCGTTACTGCAGCAAGTCTAGCTGACAAGAAACAACTGGAGTATTAGCAATAACTTTAAACTACAGATTTGTTCACTACTGTCCCTAGAGACCTAAAATGCTCTTTCTTTGCCTCTTGAAATCCTATTAGTCTTACTTTCTCCCTAATTATGAGAGTGATCATGTTTCTGTTCCTCTCATTAAATCAYAAGTTCTTTTGATTTATCGGTTAATTTCCAGACTAGTTATTTCTTCTATAAAAACAAATCCTGCCRTTTCTAGTTTGAGTGATTATAGCAGACAAGSTTTTGACCTATATAAATAAAGTCAAATATTACTAAAGCTTTGCTTTCATGTAGTATTTCAAAGGTGAAAAGGAATGTCATGACTAACTAACTAAGGTGGATTTTGCATTTGCAGACTGAGATAAGTGTTCACCTAATAGATATTAAGATGCTTTTTGTGTAGTAATTCTGCTATTAAATAAATCTTGTCATTTTCTTTGTGTTGGTCTGTTACTAGGATCCATACTATAGGTTTAATGATGTGATGTACAGATGGATCTCACTGGATAACTGGACTTACAGTAGGACATTCAAAACTCCTTTTGACGTCAGGTATGCAATACAGATATGTCTAAAATAGTTCTGTGTCATCTTTCATGCAGAGCTATGAGTTAATCCATCAGCTCAAAATCTGCTTAATACTTTTKTATCTGATAAATTATGCAATAATATGCAGCTGCAAAGCTCTTGCTGCAGAACACTTCAATTGTTGCTTTTTCCTTTTTKAAAAAATTGATTGTTAAAAATTACTTATGAATTGCCAACTGAGAAAATATAATACTTATGCTAATTGAAAGCAATCCCATCTAATATTTGCTGGGTATGTGAAAGAACTGTGTTCGTGAACATGCTGGCTTGATCTACTTCAGGTGTCATCTTAATTTGACTATTTGATGATACAATGTAGCTACGTTGAGTCAAACATTTTTGCCGGTAGATGAGGCAACTGTTGGTATAATGGTGATACACATTTTTATATTATCTGTCTCCTGTGTGTTCTTAACTCTAGGAATTCTGACAGTTTTTTCACACATATGTTTTTTTCTGTAGGAAGTGGCAGAAAGTGAATTTGGTTTTTGAGGGAGTAGATACAGTGGCACAGATCCTGCTCAACAATGTCACTCTCGGGAGAACAGACAACATGTTCAACAGATATGTAAGTAATGTGTTTATTTCTGAAGGTGCTGCTGTTTTTTCTTCACAGCTCTTTCTTTTCTGAGCACTTTCAGTGCTTTCAAGTACCCATAAATGTAGGTGCTTCAATGCAGAAAGTGTTGACCTGAGAACTGCAGGTGTAATCAGATAAATGTTAGAAAGAGAAGTATTTACCATTTCACTAGCAGGGTCATATCTAGAGCTGAATGTGCCTTGTCCTAAATGAGAGGACCAATGCAAGAGGATCAATTCAGCTAATAATATGTCTTGTTTCTTGGGAATCTGTCCCAGCTCCAAGAAAACGTAAGCTTAAATCTGTTCTATTAGCTGTAAATCTGCTTACTAATTGGTATTAGAATGGTTTACATGTGAATAGTGCAATGAAAATGCACGTGTTCTAAAGCCCTTGTAAATGTTTTCATACTTTAGTCTTTTAAAGAGGGTGGTTTATTTTTGATATTGCACTTTTGGTAACATGGTCTTGCATTTTTGATTTTAGTTTATGTCAGCATGAGAGTATGCATTACAAAATGATCTTGAGAATGGCAGAAACATTCAAACTAATTTTATAGCTTTAAAAAATTWTTCTGGTATTAACATAAGGAGTAATCCTTGCTTTTATCTTAAAAGAATCAAAAAACCTGAAAAGTGAAAGGAAGAATGATAGTGGAATAACTGAATTGCAGATGAAATCTGGTGTCTCCATATTTCATCATTTACCATTCTGGCAGGTTTAGTTGCAGAGGCTCTGCACTGAGACATAAGAGCTAGATTCTGCCACCTGGGTCTGTGTGACCTAGGACAAAMTACTTAGTTTCTTTTTGACTTAGTTTTACCATCAGTGAAATAAGAAATTTCACAGAGCTTTTATGAAATTGTAATTATTTACTATTTGGAGAGTATCTAGAGGTTTGTCAGTAGCAGGCTSTGTAAAGTTAGGAAGTGGTATTATTTTGTCCATATTTCTGCAACTTCATTTTGTATCAGATTGAAACAATTCATGAAATGGCCTTCACTGTAAAACCAGAATTTACTGCATTAAATTGAGTTCGGGGTTACTGTGACCCACATTTCTGCYTTGTTCACCTGTTCCACAGGGCAACAACATCTGCAGGAAGGACTCTCTGAAGGCTCTGGTTTGGGGAATGTTAGTTACTTTATCATTTTCTTCTACAGACATAAGTGATGCTAGCTGAACTGCTCCCGAATTAGAAAAAAATGCCAAGACTTGGTWTGCCACAAATGAGCACTCTAAGGAATAAATGCATATTAGCCATTGGAATCATATTGTCTTGATAGCTCAGGATAATTTTGAAATGGAACATTTCTCCTTTTATTCAGTGACACTGATAGGGATTTTGTGACCCGGTGAGGGAGCCCCCAAATGCTTCATTTGATGCCTGCATAGAATGTGTGTCTGTACATTTGGGGGATGAGAATGCAGCTCATTTCATTTTGGGGAATGAAATACAGCTTTGCAATGTTCCTGGGCAAGGCAGCTCAGTGCCTGGTGGTAGATGAGCTGGCAGCACATGTGAGGTGGAGGCACTCCTGTATGGAGCAACTTTCAGAGTTGGGGTAAGGTGTCTTCCTGAAGATGCAGATGAGTTCTGTATGAGGAAGGAGGGTAAAGATTCTCATTCTGCCCTCGTCCTTCAAGCACTTCTGTGTGTAAGCAGTGTGCTGCAGCCTGCAACAAGGACTCGATGTGAGGAAAGTGGTTTGCCCAGAAACATCTCCTTGTATCTAGAACATTCCTGTGCATTTTCCTTTTTTCAGTTTAAGAGGTAGCTTTTCTTTTCCTTCAAAACTGGAGCACACTGAGACTGTRTTTCAAAAGCCTTTGAATAATATATGTATGGTATTAAAATTCCAATGTAATTGTGATTGTAAATCTCATATATAAATGTCAGCACTATAATGGTTTTGTTCTGTGTTTTGTCCTAGAGCTTTGATATTACCGGTGTGATCCAGGAGGTCAATTTTGTTGAAGTCCGTTTCTTGTCAGCCGTTTCATATGCAGCTGAGCAGAGCAGATGTCACAAAGCACACAGCATCCCCCCGGCGTGCCCTCCACCTGTGCAGAAAGGAGAGTGCCATGTTAATTTTATCAGAAAGGTAGGGGCAAGAATTATCTTCTCTGGCTTCAGGCTGGGAAACAGGAATGCACCACAAACTGTCCTTACAGTTGTGTTCTGAAATCTGCAATGTTGTTTTATAAGTAGGGCATATTTTTCATTGCAGCTTCCTTTTCCCATACCTCCTAGAAATCTGTAATCTTGTATGTTGACAATACAAGAGGCATAAGAAGGYCAGGCTTCGTATCTAAGTGATAAGGATGTTTAAAAGGCTATTTTCATCAAAGAGTCAGCAAGGAGACTTGTGTTTAGAGAGCAGGATAGCACTGGGAAATGTGTAATCATTACATTTTGATCCACTGGGTGGGTTTAGCGATGTATGCTGACAATAGAGTTCACTGTTGCAAATACCAGTGTGTATTGCCAAGGCTGTAAAAATCTCATCCAAGCAGCTTTGTGAGTGCTGYTGCTCATGTGCTGTGCTATTTATACTGGGCAGTTCTGCCATGTCCCAAGAAGTGTTATCTAACGGGGGACCTGTTCTCATCTTATTAGTGCTGTGCAGTGGGACCTGTAAGTACATATTCAGTGAAAACAACAATGTAATATAAATGAGTCAGAAACTTTAAGATATGGCTTCTTTGCTGTTAAAACTCAAGGCAAACTATCATCTGAATAGCATCTCATCTATTTCTGATAGCTTTGCAGCAGAAAGAGGCAATGTCAAGATGATAATATTTTCTAATTTCTCTCTTTGGGTGTTTTTGTCTATTTGTCTCCATTTACATGCCTTTCTTTTTAATTCTTTTCAAGCTTTCTAATAAAGCTTTTCTAGAGTCTCCTCAAAAATTGATTAGGATCATGTTAATTTAAATTTAAATTAATTGATTAGGATCATGTTAATTTAAATTTAAATTTCTTTTAAAATGAGTTAATGCAAGCATGGACTCCATGTTGTCCTGGAAAGATCCTTTGGGATTAAGATGCTGTCTTTATTTCTACTTGCTGCTACTTTTATTTTCTCTACATTTAAAAAWGTTTATGAATTCTTCTGAGTCCACTGTGTTTCTTAGAAATCAGTGTGGAAAGACTTGGAAGGAATAAGGCACTTACACAGCTGTAGTCTTATTTATAGAGCAAAAGTGGCCTGGAATGTTTTTATTTTTCACTGAACTATACCTCTAAATTTGTAAGAAAATACCCTAGTGCTTTTTCCTCAAATGGGTTGTTTGACTGCTTGGAAGCTTCTCCAGAAATTTCCAGAAACGTACTGAGTTCCAAGTATATGACAACAACAGCAACTATGTCACATTTAAAAGTAAACAAACATACTAGGACATTGCTAAAGTAAGCTGCCTCCTTCCCATCTGAAAGTAATGGAGAGCTGCTTACTCATTTCAGGTGCAGTATTAAGTGCAGTAAACTTATCTAAATCTGAGTAGGAATTCATGGCAGAACACAAACTAATGTATTCCAGTGATACAGGCATATTGTTCTTAGGGCATACTAAGAACRTTTTTCTGATAGCAGTCTCTGCAGTATTTTTAGTGAAACCTGTCAATCTGTCAGTGATTCATTTGTTTATTTTTTTATAAAGGGAAAATGAYTTTCAATCGGACTTGTTTTCTAAGAATACGTTATTCCTGGTTTTCTGTTTGAAGTAGGTGCAGTGTTAGCTTCCTGGAAGGCTCTTTTGCAATTTGATAGACAGGGAGGCTGACTGGCAAYGCAAGGGATAGGCCAGGCTTGTGCAATGTGGTTTGCCCAAATTAGTATGCCTCGGCTGTMGGTTATTAGTCTCTAAATTTAGAACTGTGTGTCACTGTACARGACTTTAGGAGATCTATTGTATTTGCTTTGGGGGCTGGGGCTGTGTGAAACTTGGAGGACAKCTGAATAGATGTTGTCAAGGGATTTGTTAAGCAGAGGTCTGACCAGGTTTGAAAACAGCTAAATGGAAATTAKTGTACGTACTTCTCTGCCTGACCAGCATTTTATAATTCTGACAGTTATTCTGATGTTAGTACCAGAACTAAGCTACTTCTCAACCATGTTTTTGTTCCCTTTGTTTTTGCATAAGAGAACCATAAAAAGGGGAGAATCAGTGAACATGACTGAACTACACAAACGCACCAGATGTATCCATTTCTTTCCATGTATTACTCCGTGGTGTTTAAACTAAAAATAGGTGATAAACTATTTAATATAAGATTTTTAATTTGATGCTGTTTTTCTAGAATACTGTAACATTTCTAACTGTCAGTTTTCTGCTTAGTTTGTTTTTAGGTGCACATTAAATACTGGCRTTACAAACTAAGATAATTCATAGCTGAGTAATCTCCTGGATTGTTTTTTTGATTTTTACTTTTGGGGCTTTGTTGGCATCTTTTTAAGTGACATGCTAAATGTTGTTTTGCTCTTTCAGTAATACAAAATTTCTCTGTACATGGATGTTTAACTCAAAATTTAATTTTTTTATAGAATACAGCTGGTAACAGCAGAGTTCTGGTCAAGAAATAAGAAAAAAATACTGTAGGCTCTTCTGGGTTTATGGAAAYGGGAAAAATTCTGTCAGAGCATATTATTTCCAGATAGCAAATGCCTTTTTTTTTCTGGCACAGCATCAATATCAGTGTTAAAAAATGGCAATTGTAATATAATCGTTCTGTTTTCCAGGAGCAGTGTTCATTTAGCTGGGATTGGGGCCCTTCTTTTCCCACTCAAGGAATCTGGAAAGATGTTAGGATTGAAGCCTATAACCTTTATCACCTGATTTACTTTTCTTTAACTCCTTTCTTTGGTAAGTCTCTTTTGTTGCTTCTTTTTATTGTTGTTTCACCTTTGGAATACAAACCATTTTATTAAGCCCTATTAACTGTCAGTTTAGGAAATTTCTGTGGAGGTTTTATGACTCTGTGTGTAGTTCTTTTCACAGCATACCTTTTTTGATATATTGAAACAGTATTTCAGTACAAACAAAAGCTATTAAAAGTGTTAGAATTCAGAACCTTTTGTTGCTTAAAATCTCTGAATAACTGCAGAAATAAATGTAATATTTATTACATTACAGATTAGCACCTGTTCTCTGGTTTTGAAAAATTTCTTTTATATTGGCATGTGTTKTCACTAAGACTTCCTGTAAAGATACCTCGCTTTTGTCTCACTTTTATTTAAAACAAAGGCAAAGCTGCTATGGGAATTTAGTTTTGTGTTGGAAAGACAAGTGCRCAGTGAGCAGAGTTTGAAGAGTGCTGAGTTTTCAGGACACAACATGAAGTCTGTGAGAGAAAAGCAGGCATGCTATGCAAGAATAATTGGTAAAGCTGCATTTGGAGAGGATAGTCTCCTGCATTCCTGCTACCTAACTCACCAAACCGGTTTTCTCTCCTGCAGTGGTCTCTGATTTTCCTCTCCTTTGTCCTGAAGAACATTACAGTTGAGCAAAAGCAGTTAATTTTCCCTTGAAACTTTCTGCAGATGGTGATATGCCCCATTGTAGACCACCCACATGCTTTTTTTCACTGCCTGTTGAGCCCTGTCTTCATTGGAGTAGAGGCTAGCACATGGGTCCTCTGCACTGGGGTGAATTTCAGCCCTTGGGAATGGATTGGTTGTGTATGAATAAAAGAGGAAGACATCACTCCAAGGCTGCTTTTAAAGCATCCTGAAAAAGCTGCAGGTCGTAGCTGGAATTAACAGGACTGGAATTGCCATGGAAAGCCCCAGCACAGACTGTGTGCATTCTAAAATTTAGTTACAGTAAAAATCTTTTCTGGTCCCTCCCACATTCCCACAACTCCACCTTCTGGTAGGTAAAGTCTTGCTTTCTAGATAAGTGGAGAGACCAAACCTCTTTCATTCAGCATAGAGTGGCTTAGAACCAGAGTGAGAGCTTATTATTAGTATTCAAACATGATAACATTTGAAAGAGTAAATAAACAACCTGAATTTAAGCTGCATATGTACTTTTATTGTTCATCAGATTTAGTGTCATAGCCTTTTGACCACTGAGTCTGTAAAAGATTCATTGTTSTTGGTTTCTGTGCCTAGACTCCACAGTTCATGCAGTTAAGAATGGGCTGGAATTTCCATATGCCTTTGTAGGGGAGGGAGAATGCATTGTAATGTCTGACCCTTGCAGGGTGGKTATTTTTTTAACCTTTTTCACATTTCAGAAAATTGGTCTTCACTGGGTAATGCTGGGTGTAATATAAACTTGGGAACTCAATCACTGATCTTCACTCTATGAAAGACAATGAAAATCACACCAGGGCTGAATGCAGTTCTTTGTTGTTTGGAGTGAGCTCTCTTTCTCTTGTGTAGGAAGGAGAGCTAGAGTGTATAAATGAAAAGAGAAAGTAAGTTATTGGTAGTTTGGGTATAGAAAATGTGTCTTAGTTCTAGTTTTCATTGTTTTCTGCTTTATTTGCTTTTGTTTATATGTTAATCTGTAATATATGAAGTATAGGATTAGCCAGGMTATGTTAGTAGCTAGGTAATACAATTGCTGAAGTTAGTGGGARATTTACACATAGATCTTGAGTACTCTTGACCCTGGCTCTCCTTATTCATTAAGTTCTGTAAAAGAGAGGACGCTCTGAGGGAACTTCAGAGAGATCTTGGGGAAGTCATTAACTTGTTTCCTCTACCACACACATTGGTGGGAGAAGGGACATAAAGATATGGCCTGTCAAGTCTAGACACAGTGGACCCAATTCATCCCCAGCACAGCTCCATTCATTTTGTCCAGTGACTCTGGGATGAATTCAGCTCATTTTCTGTTAATACTGTTTTTGTTTCATTGACAAAAGTGATTGTACTGGCTTGTGATTACAATCTTTCCCAAAGAGTACCATGTTCATATGAGTGCTGACTAAAAGCAAATACAGTGTCTATGGGAGTTGGTGGGAAAAAATTCCTTCCTAATGAAGTGACTGGTGTCAAGGTCTCTGACTTTTGTACAGAACTCTGAAAAGAAAGCCTGGATGGCTTTTGAATGGAAAAAAAAGAGTTAAGAAACAATTTGTATTACACTGTTCTCTTCCATTTGACRCATGTCAAATGCACTAAGTAAGCTGATTAACCATGTAGGTCTGGTTCAATCACAGCCTGAAACTTGTTAAATTTAATCTTAGGTATTTGAATTTTTTCTTTAATGAGAGATGATGTTAACTATTAGGTATAAAAAYATAATTCTTAAATTCCCATTTTTTTTATTCCTGTTCACCTAGAAAAGAGTGCTCAACAGTGGCATCTTGAAGTTGAGTCTGTTTTTGATGTAATCAGCTCCAAGCCAGTTGCAGGTCTTGTGACTGTGATCATTCCCAAATTACAAACACAGCAAACATTCAGTGTGAAGCTTCAACCTGGAGAAGGCAGCATTGTGCTGCTTGTAAACATCAACAAGGTAAGGAGGTGTGTGTGGAAACCTAGTTCAGCTGCAAAACATTTCCCCTGGTTTCCAATGTGGTCTTCTGCCTCCATGCCAGTTTTAGGCCTCCCTCTCATTCCTTAGTGTTTTCTGACTTTTAACAACAGTTCTGTACCCCGTACAGGGTGGGAGAACAGTTCTTCTCCTTCCTGAAATCTGATGTCCTTGGAGCTATGGAGCTCAGTGTCAAAAAAATGATCAAGCCTTAGAAGAACACATAATCACTGTCTGCTGTTAAATGAGTTATTTAGGCACATACTTTGGATACCCTGTGTCACTTCACTAGCAGCAGGAATCTCATGTGCTACTGTTTAGTGGACTGACTGGGACTAGAATATATTATAATATGCGTGCTTCTCCCAGGAAAGTGAGGAAACATTCCCGAAACCTTTCAGTAGATACTATTTCAGGTAAATAAAAGCAAAAGAAAATTTTGTGGAGTAACACTCCTTACATTCATTTGTAGTCCTTTGGATAGGCAAATTTCAGGAGGAATTTTTGACTGGTAGAAGGTGCTCAGAACTCAATTAAAAACTTGGGCTCAGGCCAGTGGGCAGAGTGGGAGCCCTGGCAGGTGCAGCAGGAGCTACAGCTGATGGAGCTCTCCATGTGAGCTTCACTSCTGCAGGACACACATTTGTGGGGTGATGTGCTGTGAGCAGAAATTTGGGGCTTCTGACAATACTGACAGTTAATAACATTTGAGGGTCTGCCTTCAAGCCTTTCTGCCTTTTACTGGCTCTGCTGATTTTCTGTATTGCTGTGGAAGTCTGCATTTGTTTTCCTAGTTTGACTGCATTGTRTTCTTGAGTTCACTTGGCAGTTGTTTGAGTGGAGAGAAAGCAAGCAGGGTGTTTATGTTCTAGTATGCACACTCTGTGACTTTTGTGCTTATGTGCTTTGTTTTATTTTGACACAGAAGCATAGAAACATCCAATTTTTGTTACAGTTGTCATCTGACGTGCAAGTTACATGAACGATTACCAATACCCAGTTTCATTTAAAACAACCATTAGTCTCTGCTTAGCCTTTTAATGGATTACATTAAGCAGGCAATGCAAGTGAAACTTCAGAAATTATTTTTGTTTATTTACTTGTCCCACCCCCATTCTCTCTCCCCACAAAGAGATTTGTTRGTGTAGTGCAATTGCAAGTTTGGGAAGAAGCACTTCTTCACAGCAGAGGCAGCAGTGTTTCATTATTCTTTGTTCACAAAAGGCTTTGCTACATGAATTCACATCAGCTGGTTTTGTGAGAAGCTCTGAAATGTGTTCTCATGTATTGACAAGGCTAACAGAGCCCTTACTTTATACCCAGACTTGTGTGGTATATATTAAATACTGAGACCTCACCAGAAATCTATTTCTAGTTGAGAGCTTATTGCAGATTGTGTTGTGGAGTCAGTAGGTGTTTGAGTGATGCATATCACTGAGATGTGTATCAGTCTTCCTGCAGTTGCCACGCAGAATGCTGTGTTGCCAACATGACAGCATTTTGCTTATCAGCGAGTGGTGAGCAGGGGGTGACATCATTGGTGGCCAATGAGACACTTCAGTCGTTGCAGCAGCTGTGAACACTCCCTTGTTGTTGAGGCTCACGCTGAGTCTGTGCTTSCGCTTGTATCCATGCAGCCAGGGATCAGCACTTCCTCACAAGCACTTATGATAATTCTGTCTCAGGGAAGCTGAAAGATATATTCATGGTTGTGTCCAAGTATAGCTACAGCCAAACATATTGTTGTGCTGCTCTCYGGCCTCAATTTGTGTGAAAAGATTGAGGCACTCCTTGCACAACTCGATTCAGTGCTGATCCCTCCATTGTTCGGTTGCKTGCATTATTGCTTTTTTTCCACAATTTTTGTGTTGTGCACTCAACTGGCAAATGCTGGCAACAGGATTGAGCAGCAGAAGGTAGGCTGCCAGAGTGAYGATATTCTGCCATCTTAGAGATTGTATTTTATGTTTGCAAAAATTATTGAGTATTAATAATGTTACTAGGAAACATAGAGAGAAAAAGCAAAAAAACACTGAAAGAATGAAAGAATTTGACTTACAARSTYRAMWTAAGTGAGGCAATTGGTATAGTTATGTATTACCAAARTCACAATTGAAAARTGTCACTGCTGTATATTGAATGTTKCARGGGATAGTTAAAAGGATCAGTGAGAAGAGGTTTATGATACAGAGCTCAGTGAACAACGGCTGCTCCTGACACAGATGATTGGAGTTTGGAGGAATAGTGTGTCAGTGTACCTGAGTTGAGGAGTGACAGCTAGATGTGCACATTCATGCCCAGGTGTGCTCATGGCCTGTTGTAGACACAAAACGAAGTGATAGTCTGGACTTTAGTGGAAGAAATCATACTTCTCTCTTTAAATGATTTTCACCTCAGAGCTGCAGCTGGGGAGATCYCAATTAGAGTATCTCAGCTGAAGCACAAAACCTCATTAACTTGTGGTAATTCACTCGRAGGTATCTGAGCCCCCAGGTGCATTTTGTACCTCTTTTTATACATGTTGCACTGACTTTCTCTCTTGTATGTTCAAGAGTTCTGAAGTGGAGSCTTGGTGGCCAAATGGACATGGAAAGCAAACTGGATACAACATGACAACAACTTTTGTCATGGAGGMAGGATACCAGATTGAGAAATTTTCAAAGGTGAGCCTTCCATTTTAATTACATCTGGCATTGTGCTGTTACTGTTAGGACATCTGCTCTGCATGACAGTTTAGAGCTCTGAAATATTTTGCTGGATTGTACTATGCACGTGAAAATGCTAATGAGAAATGAGTTTATGTTATGTCACAGTGTATGGTATGTGTGACATAAAATGGTACTACATTTTATGGTATTCTTAGCCTGTGTGGATGACTTTTATTTGGGCTGCAGGATGGCTTACAGTTAGCTGGGAACCTTAGAAGGTAAAGCATGTTTACTTCCTAAGTTTTCTAGCTTATGAAAAGAAAAAAAGCATTTCTAAACTTAAAATAYCATGCTCTTGATTTTGTATTATGCACTGAAAACCCCTTTTAGATTTCTATGGATTATGCAAAGGTTTATCACTGAGATTTTTCTTGATAATTCTCTTTGTAAAAAATTTATGGGATGGGTGCATTCYAAAAACCTAACAAAAGGTTTATTTATTAGAATGTGGTAGATGTGCTTCAGGCTTAAGAAGAGGTGACATCTTAGATATGACCATAAAAGTAATATTTGGGGATTTTTGCATAAGGGTTCCTCTAATGCATTGGCTGTTTAATTATTGGTTTGGTTTTATTAAGGAGCCTGGAAGAGATAATTTCCAATTGTCCATTAAAAACAAAAATCATAGAGATTAGACTGGGCTCCTTATGGCATCAACATGTGGAAACAACCACATAAAGGTATGCATTTATTCGATGTTTCTGGTGTGTATTGCTTCACTAAAAACTGCTCTGGTCACCAGGCATCTAAACTGCTATTTGCTGTAGCATTTGTTCATGTGAAAAAAAACCTATGAAAAAGCAGCAGCCTCTGGTGTTCTAGTTTTTATAGGACTAGCACGTAGTTTGATTATGAAGTCACAATAATAATTCTTCGCTATTATTAGTCGTCTAATTTTGAAACAATTAAAAACCCTCACCGAGTAAACACAGCATATTATGCTTGGAAACACTGGTTGTCAGAAATATGGCTATAAAGCCTGTCAAAAGGAAAATTCTGTTATTACTGTGTGAAAACTACACAATGATCAGAAAGCTAACCAGTTCCATTTGGGTGCTTGTGTCAGAATATTTCATAGAGCTCTGTGGCATATGATCATAGAGACTTCATGGCCTACAACAGAACCCTCTTATTTTTTTTTCTCCCTAAGGGGAAAGAGGGGAAAAAAAAAGCAAATGCACCACACAGTGGGCATTGTAAATTAACCAGCATATGAAGCCTTTAAAGCTTACAGWGTGGAGTCTGGTTGTCCTTCGTGTGTTTTGTGAATCTCTGTCTTAGATTCTGACAGACAAAACCACATGCACACCATCACCCTTCACCTGAGCTTATGAGTGGAAAAAGGTTCTGTATGCAGTTTTTTCATGCTGTAGCATAATTTTCTCTCATGTCACTAGGATTGAATAGCAACATTCATATAGCTTAATAAGAACTTTGAGTARTTAAGGAGATACAATCAGGGATTAATGCTCCTGAAAGTTGTTTTGTTGTCAGTTCTGTTGTGCTGACTGTATTCAGGAGGAATAGATTTCCTACTTCCACTCTTGTTGTTTTTTCCCCAGAGAAGTAGTGGTGAGACATTTCACAAGTGGTTTGTATCCATATGAGTATCTACTTAACTTTGGACAAGAGAAATCTGAAGTATGAGAGCTGTACATGAGAGAAAACACAGCTTGATTTTATGTCAGATTTATTTATGGCTATTCCTAGCTTGAACTACTTTCTGGATTCTGACATGTTAGAGTAGTCTTCAAAACATTAACTAATGCTTTGGGAATATTTCTGGGTGGCCTTCTAGTATATACTTGCAGGAGCTCTATAGAGCTCCAGCCAGCTGTGCTGGGAATCTCTTTGCCTGAGAGGAGTACTTATTCATTCCTGTTCAGAGYAGCAGAAAACCAAAGCAGAATAAAAGGCAGCATCCAGAATGGGATGTGGTTAGATTTTGGTTTGGTTTTCCATCTGAATATTTTGTTTTAGGGTTTGCTTCTCAGGAAAATGTGAAACAAASTCTTATCTCAGTGTGAAATTGGTTTTCTTGATGGAGGGTCCTGTTTGCTATTGGTAAATTGCTTTCCTTCTTGCCATCCCTACATTAAGGAATGTATTACCTCATTCATTGCCCCATGATGAGGCATTCATTTGCTTTCCAGTTTTATTTCCCCATATTTCTGTATGCTTGTTTCTCCAGCTCTATACTCAGGGTTTTTTGTTTCATAAGGCTATTTTCATACTTTCAAGATCTCGGCCTCTAGCTGTCTTTCCCTTCATCCCTTTACACACTCTTTTCCCCCCAAGCATTTTAGCATGACTTCCAGATGTCTTTCCTTCTGGCTTTGTAGTTTTCACACCACTTTCATGCTGTGTGCTAATTTGTTAGGTCGCTGGGTTATTCTGTGATCTTATTTCAGCTCTAGGCATCCTCATCCTTATTATTTTTCCTATTGCTAAATATGGGAATKCCAAATGTGATCCACAGGTCACTTAACTGTGTACAAAGCCTTTGTATGTGCCTTAAAAAGACAGGTATCTGTTTCATAATTATRCCCAGAACCRGCTGGTTGGTCTGTGGTGGCTAGARAACCTCCTTGTGCATGCTCCGAGACTGGGAGAAATGTTCAGCCCTCAGGCAGAGAGCTCTATCAGAGCTTTCAAGGTGGAAGAGGTCTTGGTAGCCAGAAAGGCACGTGGCCAAGCATGCCAGATGCTGGTTGTCTCCCATTGCCCTTCTTTTACCCCACAAGGCAGAAGGGAACTGTAGTAGGAATGGGAAGAKGTGCTGGTACTGGATGGCCCCAGGGGAACAATGGAGTTGCACTGAACCTTGAAGGCCTGGGAATGTGAGCTGAGGCTAAGGAGCTTTTCCTCTTGCTCCTGCTGTCAGGGTGGTCCTGCCTGAGATTTTCACCCTCTCAGATTGCCTTGGATTTGGCCAGTTGCATGAGTTCCACTTGAGCATGAATAAAGCAATATCATGTTACTTCTGTTAGTAGTACAAATACTCYATTACAAATGCACATTGAGACAGTCCCAACCTGCCTGATGACATCCATTAAGATGACATYRSAAATACTTTGGCAGCCTCAATTGCAAATCTCATTCCACTTTGTGTCATAAAGAAAGAGCCACAATGGAGACTGAGGAGTTCTTTTTCCAAGTAATTGAATTCACTGTAGGAAGCTCAGAACTTTTTCGCTAATGTAGTACTCATACTGTAGTTTTTCTTTTGTAGCCTTTGGGAGTTAGGGTCACTATGAAAGTTGTATGAAACATTGTTTGTTTTTTTAAAATTTAACATTTCATGTTAGAACAAGTCTGCAGAATTCTAGGAATGGTCACTGCCACGTTGCAGAGGTTTACATTGAGATCAATGATCTGCAACCTCCACTAAYGCATCTAGTTTGTTCCATGCATTGTCTCTATCCAGGCACCTGGTTAATAATTGTCCAGTTAACTTATAAGCAACAAAGAAGAAGCAAAAAGTGATTTTCTTTGTCTTCCCTAATACTAGAAATAGTTTTCTGTCTATATGTGATTTTTTGATAAGCTGAAAATTTAGAAAATGCAGTCCCATGGAGAGATTAGTCATTTCCCTTTTGAACTCCATCCATGTCTAGTGTGTGAAATAAAGAATTGCATTTTGTCTTAAAAGACAGGTGTATCATTTGTACTTAACTAAGTTAATTTTAGCCTGATTTACTGACAGATACTTGCCTCAAATGAAACTTGTGGCAGAGAGAGAACAGGGTGTACTCTGCAAGCTGACCTTTTGAAAAGGTAAAGCAAATAGTCATCTGAGGGAGGAGTGGTTYCTATCTTAGGAGTGGTCTAGAAAAAATTAGGTTCCTGCCCTCCTGACCCAAACCTGTTTTGGCTGAAATTTACKGTTAGCTTTCCTTCACTTTATTTAATTTTCCAGTTCTCTCCSTATGATAATGAGTAACAGGTACAAGAAAGAAAAGGTGTTTTCTTTCTGGATTAGACAAATTGAACTGAAACAAGGATGCAAATGAAGAAATTCCAAGCCTCCCTGAAGGAGCTGTTTTGTGTAAGAGAGTGGAGGTGTACAGGAGCTGACTGTCAGGTGGGGAAGGCACCTGTACAAACAAAGTGCTGTTACAGGGAACTAACTGCTCCCACATGGCTGTTTGTCAGTGCAACCAGGATACCCCTCAGAGCAGCATCATTGCTTGTAGTAAAGTCCCAGAAAAATGTCTGGAATGATTTCCTGAGAACTTGAATTCTACCTGCAACAGGAAGAAGGAATGTTTTCTAGTTTCAGCATCTACAGCTCACGAATAGCACACAGTGCCATATATTAGGCTAAAAGAGCAGCTGTAAAAGTTTGGCTTCTGCTTGAGATGTGCTTTTATTGTGAATGGTCTTTAATACTTTATACAGAATTAGTGGTTATTTAGCTGAACTAGTGTCTCTGAAACGTTATTGCTGATCATGCTGTTCCAACACAGCTGTGATGRCCAGAGGGCCCTTCACTTGCAAACTGGCATTTGTGTTTGCATGCCTGTTTTTTTTCTTTAAGTACTGCACCTATTAAAAAGGTATCATTTCAGAAYAGTAAAAGAAGATTTTGCTTGTACTACTTGAATCTGGTACCAGGCATTCAGGGACAAGGCTTGCAACTGAGCTGCTGCAATCTCCTGTGGGGAGAAAATTGCAGGTTAAATGGACGTGTCTCTGATCTGGTGCAGTCATTGTATTCCTCATTCTGGTCTTCAGCTGAACTGAATTCTGCAAAAACCAAACTGCATCTGTCTCTTCCTTACATTAGACACCTGTGTGCACATGCACAGTTTGCTCATGCTTTCTCTTGGTCTCTCTTAATATTTCTCTTGCTCCCTCTTAATATGACAGCAATTTTAAACAGCGAATGGGCTTATTGAAGGAATTCTTTCTAGTTCTGTTACAGTGTGTTTTAAGCAAGCAGGAATTTAGAGATGAGACCATGTCTTTTGACTCCTTGACAAATTCTAAGCTGTTATTGTTCAGTTCAATCCCTTTTGTAATGGTTTTCTTTATTTTGTTTTARTTCATTTTTTGTGAGCTTTAAGTTTCATGTCTTCACAGGTTTATTTTCGGACAGTAGAACTTGTTCAGGAGCCTATTCCTGGCTCACCAGGTCTGAGTTTCTACTTCAGAATCAATGGCCGACCCATTTTTATKAAGGGCTCAAACTGGATTCCAGCAGATTCTTTCCAGGACAGAGTGACCTATGACACGTAAGCCACATCTGATGTTCTCTGAGGATAAAGGATTATGTTTTCCTCCTCCTGATTTTCTCTACACCCTTTTTCAAAGGTTGACTTTAGTGGGTAAAACACCTTTCAAGGTAGGACACTAATTGTTTTGTGTTGAAGCCTTCAGAATTAGGGCTTCATTAACATGAACAGATTTGAATAATGTTCGAGGCATGTAGGTGCAATTATTGATGGGAAGGTGTCTGATTGCAGTTCACAGATTGCAGGCCTTTCAGGTATTTTTAGGGACAATCCTCAGGCTGTTTGTCCCAATTGCCTGGACACATCCATTGGAGTACCTGCACTTGGTCCATGTCCTAACCCATGTCACACAGGGTTACATAAGTGCACAGTGGACTCTCTTTCCTTTTACCAGTCTCACCTAGGCTACTGGGATTTTAATGGCACAGAGCACTGGAGATGCAGGTAGAAGGGGGCTATTCTGTATTTGGACTAAGCTTTGCTCTGAGTAACCAGGGAGCCAGGACAACAGGGCTTGCTGCAGTGTGCATTCATATGCAATTGAGAGGCTGTCAGTATGATTTAAGGRAAAATGACTGGAGCCTGAAACCCTTAAAATGAGATTCCAAGTCTCAGTCTTTCTCCTCAACCTCTCGCTCCCATTCTGGCTATTTGTTGTGGAACTCAAGAAGAGAATATATGTTTCTAATAGTGTTTAACAGAGATTTGAATACAAGTGATTGACATACAAAGCAAGTAATACCAGAGGAGAAAAGAACAATGTGATTAATAAAATACAGTATTTTTAAATCTGGTCCTGCCAATACTTCCATAAAAGCACTTACATGTGTCACTCATCTATTTCATGTTAACAGGACCAAGCAAATTTTTCTGCACAAAAAATTGCTTTTTGAGAGCTCTGTCCAGACATGCAGGTTTAGAAACCCAGAGTATTTTGATACTTTCTGTTAGAGTTCTGTCTTAGATTGCCTGCTAATGATTTAGGTTTAATTTTTGGTTATTGTGTGGGTGGTTTTTTTTTTTTTTTTTCTTGTTGTTGGGGATGCTCGTTTCTTTGTTTTTTGTATAAGCTTAGAAACTCTTAAGTGATACAACTTCAAAACTTTTATATCTCCTTTTTGTGTTTGACAGACTAAGGCTACTCTTGAAGTCTGCAGCAGATGCTAACATGAATGCCCTTCGGGTTTGGGGAGGAGGAGTATATGAACAAGATGAATTTTACGATATCTGTGATGAAATAGGAATAATGGTAACAGCAATAAACACAGAACACTTATTTAAAAACTGACAAGAAACTTGTAAATGAACAAAATAAGAGAATTAATACATAAGTTCTTACCATCTTTCCAAAAGACATTGTAGAATGTCAGTGCGAGAGGTCAGATCAACCTGATTTTTTGGTTGGTTGGCATTTTWAAATTTCTTTTTAATTTGAATAGTTTCTGATTACAAAGGCTGTCTGTTAAATCTGGAGGTGTTACTTTGGAGACTTTATAGTGAAAGGTAGCCATTAGGTAGAAGGTAGCCATGCTTTTCTCAATTGTGGAAATGGATTTTATTTCTTTKTGAAGTATTTTCTTCCTTTTAGCAGTAGCTGAAAAGGTTTGGATGTTTTTGGTTAAAACTTTTCATTTGGCCCAAAGTCAAACACGGAAGGCTTTATCCAAAGGGCATGAACAAGCTGTAATTGAATATAAATRTAGCTGTAAGGTGAACAGCTGCTGCAATCACTAATCCTAGATGATRCCTTTGATTATATGAGCTTGGAGGCACATATTAATAAGTTTTGATGAAGCCGTGACTAGATGAATGAAGGCCAAGTTGCATCTGGTATTAAAAATCCCAAGAAGTATGTTTGGTCTTAGTCTAAACTGTAAAAAACAGGGAAACAGGATTCATACCTTACTGTCTTCAGATGTGTGTGGTTGCAGAAAAAAAAAAAGTTACATCTATTTTAGACATCTGAATGAGTGTCCTGATTTTCAAGGCTTCTGTGCAGTTACAGTTTTTAAATTTTTGACACCAGGCACCTGAAGTAGGCCACTTAGATCTGTGCCTGTACATTGCTCAGTGCAAGATTTAGATCCTATTTAACAGCCAAAATAGCAAGTAAATGCGGAAAATCAGACCCTTATTCCAGAGGGGGCAGTGGTGGWGTTTTTCAGTTTTGTTTCTTCTCATGGTCTTTCAAAGGCTTAAAAGTGCATTGGAGTCAGACTGTGCTTAAGAAACCAGTGATAGCTCATGGAGGGAAATAGTGAGATAAAGTTTCTTTCAATAGAGAGTTTTGACTCCACACAGTCACTAAAGGATTATGAGTGTTTCTGCAGCAATARCTTTGCTTTTTTTGTACAGTGATTTTAACAATTATTAATGGCTCCATTAGCTCCCACTGTCCTATTCTCTATCTTTAGTTTCCTTAGGAAATATATGTTGAAAAGAGCCATGGAAAAGCATATTCTCACTGCAGTGAAAATGCAATTGTGTCTGTCTCTAAGTAGCACAGTGTTCAGAAAAGTGGAGTCTCTTAMAGACTCCTTTAGGTTAACATGCTCCTTCTAGAAGTCTTTTCATTAACATTTGAGGTAGACTAAAGGGGCTTCAAAGTTACAGCAATTTAGAAACAGGTAAACAAAAAATCTTACCCATCTCATTGGGCTTCTCTTCCCCTTCTTTGTAATTCTTCTTCAAGGTACAAATGGAATTTACTGTTGTTGAATTGAAAGTTTTGCTGTTCTCTACTRGTAGTATCTACTTGATCTTTTTTTGAAGAGAAAGATTGTGTTTTTAGATGATCTAGTTTGTTTCTGCCCTTCTTACTGTGTAAGATTTGCTGGTTTTAAGATCATTTTGTATGGAGGTATTCTCTTAACAAGTRCACTTTAACATCTGTTAAGTGTGCTCAATACCACATCAGAAGAATTATTTTCTCTTCTCATTAAGTAATGGGGATTTGGCGTTACACCTGCAAAATTGTAAATAAATTTAAAATTGTTCTGTTTGGTTGCCAATTGCCCCATGTTCATATTTCTAATTATTCCACTGAAAGTCACAGAACTTCATCTACTGTGCAGTATTCCTCCACTCCTCAATGTAGGCTGTTAGGATCTGATTCCTAAGGGTAAATATTTTGTCCTTGTATCTCTGATATCAAGGATAATCACAGTGGAGTAATCACATACTAAAACCCTTGGTGAATATAATTTGTTTTCTGTCTGAACAAAGGGTTATRCATTCCAATAGCCATAATTTTTCAAGTATGTAAAATAATTTGCTGACRGATTTTTTTAATCTTGCCTTCTTTTTCTTGTAGATTTGGCAGGATTTTATGTTTGCATGTGCACTATATCCAACTGACCAGAATTATTTAGAATCCGTAAGAGCAGAAGTTTCTCATCAGGTATTTTGTCCATGTGTCAAAGCTCTTTTTCCTATTATCTATTTTTGATTAACTGACTGTATAAAAAATAGGCAAGTGTTTTTGGGAAGTGTTTGCTAATGTTGGGAAGTGTTTGCTAATGTACCTTTATGTAACATACATAAAATGTAAAATTTTTGCTAAATTATCTTTAACTCCTCTGACTACTTGCAGGAGTAATTGGTCAAACAGACTGCATGGAATTTACCCTTCACACATGGCTGATAGATGTGGATGGTACATAGGTTCATAAGGCAGATATATGTCAGCATATTAGAAGCTTGCCCTTCTTAAATTGTAGATTACAAAACTTTGAGCCTTGTGGCAWGCTGAAGGAGTAGTGAACCATGTGGCAAAAAATGGGAATTGTACACTTAACATACATAATATACATGTGGGCTTGTAATTCAAGTAGTAATAAAGCTATATTAAAAAAAAATTAATTTTTAAGATAAATAATTTYGCTTGACTTCTGAAGCTGTGAATTATTTTTCAGGTACGACGTTTAAAATCTCATCCATCAATTATTCTGTGGAGTGGTAACAATGAAAATGAAGCAGCAATTGCAACCAACTGGTTCTCCATACCTCCTGCTGACATAGGAGTCTATGTCCAAGATTACATTACACTTTATGTGAAGAACATACGTGAAATAGTTCTTAGTGTAAGTGATCTCAAGAAACTGTAGGGGAGTATGGCTCTGCAAAGGTTGTAATGTTGRAGCAAGTTGGGATTTCCTTTTTTCTTTTAATCCTTTTGAGGCATGAAAAAGAGCATGCTGAGAAATGGCCCTTGCMAACTCTTCTAAACAACTCTCTAAACTCAAGAGTTATTCTCAAAGTTAAAAAAAAAAATTAAAATTGCTTGTCTTTAACATTTTGTGATGTGTAAATGAAGACCTGAAAGTGTAGTGGATCTTGTTACTTTTTTCCTTCCTGTTTTCATTATGTCCACAAGTGCCCTCACTTACAGTGGAGGAAAATCAACTTGCCCATTAATTAATTAATCTAGATGATCAGGTTTCCTTTAGCCTGGTTTTGTTGAAGAATACTGCAAAAAACATTTAACAGCCCTCAGGTCTTTTAATAGCAGTTGAATAAATCTATAAAGATGTTGTTTCTTAAGTATGTGACTAAATTTTTTTGTTCTAAGCAGATAAAGCAAAAGTGAGGCTAAACACTGAGCTCATGCTGTGTAATCATTGTATTGATTGTTTTTGAAAAAACAAAATGTTGGTATTGTACAGTATATGAAGGCAAAATATTTTTATATAAAATTTAAACTGTGAGTATGAAGTTTGCAAGCACTTGGAATCCTTGATGAAGTGTACTGTGATTTGGCGCTACCCATTTTGCATGGCTTTTGTAGTTTTATTTCTTCTCTTAGGAGGTTCTAAATTTCTGTACTGAGCTGTTTTCAAAGGTATGCTGTGGTATTTTTGTGATCAGCTACATGAGTTGGATGGCCAGCATGTGTGCAACAAAGTGAGGTGTTCTGGCTTGATACTGTGCTTCAGTTACAGTTCACCGGTGCAGCATTGCCACCCAAGATGGACCCACTTTTATTTTAAATCCATAGAATTTTGATTTAATTTAATTTAAATCCATAGAATTTTCAGTACAAAAATGAACTATATAGGGAAATAACTTCAGGTCCTGTGTGATACAAGTCAGCTGAGGAAAACTGTARTTACTAGTAGTACTGGACTGGATAACTTGAAATGACTTCTAACTTTGAACTAATGACTTCAGGGAATTCAGGATATCCTGTAGTAAATTGTTTTAGTTAATTATTAATTACCCATGGCAAAAAAAAAAAAAAAAGAAAAAAGAAGATGGGGAAACAGGACTATTTCATAAAATGAAGCATATCTGAGTGCACTGTGATGGAGCCAATTTGCTGTGACTTGTGTCTGGTAGCTAACTTGGGCCTCTATCTTGCTACAAGTAGGGTGTTAAATGAATTATACCTGCAAAAGGATTTCTTCAGTACTTGGTAGGGTAGTGTTAAAAGATTTAGTATTCTAAGTCTACTGAGGCTATAAATAAAGGCATCTYTGGACAATCTGAAATGTAACCCTTCTTGTAGTTTCATCTATCTTAGCAYGCAGAGCCAGCTAAAATGACAATAATCTATAATGATACCATACAAGCATTAAAAGCATAACACCTTGGATTTGTTAGGACTAAATTTAGGTGACTGTTTAATAAGAAAGGAGRAAATCATGGTCTTTCCTGCAAAAACACTACAAAAGTAATAATTTTCCATRAAGAAGTCACAGTACTCAAATATTAATGTTCTTTGAGTATGTATTTCATGAGACACACTTTAAATAGCCTTCATTAAGAATTTAGAGGCATATAAAGATAGAAAATCTCTTGATGTCAGGAGAGAATCCCTCAGAACAGCAGAGCAAGCAGAATCATGCCCAGCTGTCCTCCAAGAACATAAGTAAGAAGCTAATTAAGCAAGTAAAGATGATGAATATTAGGACATAAAARGGAATGCTTCCTAGGTGGTGACTCAGAAATTTGGAAAAGTCATGTTATTCCCGTCCCCCACTCCAGTTTTTACAAAAATGGTCTATATATTTATGTATTCAGATGATAAAAGCCAGTCACTTTGTAAGGGGGTTTTATTTTTGTCTTGTTTTGCTTTTTTAAATCCCAGGAAGATAGGAGTCGTCCTTTTGTTGCATCCAGTCCCACCAATGGCTTGGAGTCAGTTAAAGAAGGTTGGCTTTCCCAGAATCCTTATGACACCCATTATGGTGACACACACTTTTATGACTACAACAATGACTGCTGGAACTGGACAATGTATCCTAAAACTCGATTTGCTTCSGAATATGGATTTCAATCCTGGCCATCCTTCAGTACAATTGAAAAGGTAAGGCTGGGCTTGTACACCTTACTGTCCCCTTTGATCTCATTTTGTGAGTCTCTTCCCAACAAACTTGTGCATCCAAGCTGTAGTAATATGTTGTTAGGTGTGGTTTGGTACAAGGGATAGAGGTGTGGGCTGGTGTGGAGAGAGGGGATGAAACTATTGTTTCCCTCCTCAGTGTTCACTATACTTACCTGGATATTGCAAGAGGAACCTGCTTTGGATGAGAGACTCTTATGAAACTGTTATTTCTGCTAGTAATTCTCTTTAGTGTATAGCTCAGTTATGATTGGTAAAATTCATAAAAATTGAATTTTAAAATCCGGCACAATTCAGCTCTTGCATGTTTCTTCTCTTTGTCGAATACATGTCCCTAGACATCACAAAAGTAAACAGATTTATCAATCTCTTTCATTTAAATAATTTGATTCTTAATGTATTGCATATAAGAGCATTTGGTTTTGTTTCCTGTTAAATTTAGATACTATATGTTCTATCTTATTTATCAAATAGGAGCAGAGACATATCATGCTGTTTGTCCATTTGWCCAGGGAGAGATGTTGATATTACATGCATGCAACCAAAAGATGTTCAGAATGTTCCTTTCAATTTGCTGGGCAAAGCATATTATCTCAGGCAYAATCAGAACATTCATCCATATTAATAACAATAAAAATTATTAAATCCAGCCTAGAAAGGAACAACTTTAAATAAGAAGTTTCTTCAGAGAGTGTAATTACAATGAAAGCTTGGCAATAACTTAATGAGTTACGTTGTGTTGTTGTCTTTAGTTGAAATAAACTGGATTATTATAATTTGTTATCAGAGGCAGGTTTTGAAAATATATATACATATAACTAGAATTTCTAGCCCAACTAATTTATTTAACTTTTCCACCTAAATGTGTTTGACTAGAGTGCATTTTTACACAGTAATCTAKGGTGTTTCTGATTTACTATGGATGTCAGCAAAACTCTGAGATCCCTTGGCCAAMCCAAATGTTAGACAAATAAGCTAAATGTCACTGAGCCAAAGTTGCTCTTCTGGGTTCAACAGCAATGTCTRTTTTCATTTATTTGTGTACAAGGAGTGTAAGCAAAGGGTGTTAATCCTTGCATGACTACATGAAATATCTACTATAAAAATATACTACGAATTTTAAGATTTTGGATGATGTCAGTAGGATGTAGTGGATATTATTTCCTCAATATCCTGACAGTCATTAAATTAAGGTGCATTTTACCTTTTCATCAGATACTTTACTTTCATGTTTTTTAAAAGGTTTCTTCYCCTGAGGACTGGTCCTACAAAAGCAATTTTTCTCTCCATCGGCAACACCATGAAGGTGGCAATTTTCAGATGCTTGAAGAGGTTGGTCGTCATTTCAAGCTTCCCCAGAGCCCAGATCCTGTAAAGAAGTTCAAAGATATGATTTACCTCACTCAGGTAACAGTCGTGTCTTCCATAGAAGTAGCTGTCAGTACTTGTTCCATTAAATTCTGTCATCCTTTGGAATTGGACCTGGCCCCTTATTCCATCCCTGATTCCATCATACAGAGAGTTTCCATACTGAAGYATTGGAGAGTTCTGTTTCATTTGGAACTAGCTTTTCTCTCTTTTATTGTAGAGAGACTCCAATTTTCATGAAATTGGCTCAACTGGGAGAAAGCCTGTCAGTATGTGCTACCTTGGTCCCTCTCCCCAGCWGGGCTCATGTAGCTGGTGGAGAATGCAGGGATGTGCTGGGTTTCCATGGTACAAGATTATTCTCAGTGCTGCAAGTTTCTCCCTGTTCCAGGGTGGGTCTGTTTTGCTTTCAGGTGGCCCTGTAGGCTCACTGCTTTGATTTGTGCCACATGGAACACACAAGCTTTTGAAAACAAGATTTATTTTTCCAAAGAATGCAGTTCTATATTAATCAGATTAGTAGCAGCTTTTATTTTCTTATGGACTCTACTATTGATTAAAAAACGGTTGATTAAGACTAAAAATTTATATTTTAGCAAATACATTTTTGGGGTGTTTTTTAGATCAGAAGGGTATATTTTGCTCTTCATCCACAGTAGTTCTGCCTCATGCTTGTTTCTTTATTTGTGATTTCTGTACAGCTTTTAAAAGATGCTAAGTAACTTTTTAATGCTATTAGGCAAATTGAAAGTGGTGTTAATTTTTTGTGTTTCAAGAATTTCAGAAACACTCTTGATGGAAATAACTGCACACTCACTAAGTTTTTAGTGTTTGAGAGCTGCTGTCAGCAAGTTTTATGTAAAAGCAAAATAGCTTGAGAATTTTTGGCACTCTTGACAGGAGGACAAGGATAGATGATGCTGTGAAATTGAAAACGAGTAAAACTTGCACAGTGAGGTTCTGTAAAACTTGCACAGTGATGCTGTGAAATTGAAAACGGGTAAAACTTGCACATTACAAACTCAAAAAGCTGTGAGAATTTCTGTAAGGCTGGATGTCAGGGCCTTATTAACAGGTTAAACTATTTAATACCAAAATAAGAATAGCAAAAAGGATAAAGAGAGCACACTTGCTTTAATGGTCGACTAGAAGTAATATCTTTAGTTTTTGAGCTGTTCTGAAGACTTTTAACTTTATTTTAAGAATTTCTTTATATTTCCCCAGCCTAATAATAAACTGTGTGAAGAACATAGCAGTCTGTTTAGCATCCACTGAGAACTTGGCCAATGAAAAATTTTGAAAAAGTTTTTTTTAGATGAGGCAGAGAAAGAGAAAAGGAATGGGAGTGCAGCTGAAAAAGGGCTGGTCTTCTGATGCACAGTTTTGACTGTATAGTGAGAATGTGTGTTGTAGGTTCAGAGTGTAGGGGTTTAGGCACCAAGGTAGTGTACAGTGAAGSTAATGCACCTTAACATCATTTTGCAACTCTGTAGGGGGTTATCTAAATTAACATAAAAATTACTTTAAATTTCATCTTATTTTCCACATTTTCCATTTGCCTTTCAAAGACCRTTGTCACTGTATGGGAGGCAGGACGTAGCCCTTTGTGAGTTTCTTGGAGGACACTGCTTGCAAAGCTGTTGGGAGCTGCTAGGAGTAGATCTCTGTCCAGCAGAGAGGAGCTGCTGGAAGCAGCTAGGAGTAGATCTGGAGCTGCTAGGAGTAGATCTCCTTCCAGCAGAGAGCCACTGCCCTGCAGGTGGATATTCCTCAGAGCTCAAGTTTAAAGTTCTGTGCTGTTACTGTCAAGTCTGTGTCGTCTATCAATAGATTCACAATGTCTTTTGAAAAAAAAGTAAAATCCAATGTACCAAAACTATTTTTTTTATCTCTTTGTTGACCAAGGTGATGCAGGCTCAATGTATAAAGACAGAAACTGAATTCTATCGTTTTAGTCAAAGTGAAATAATCAAGGGAGAAGGACACACAATGGGAGCTCTGTACTGGCAACTCAATGACATTTGGCAGGCTCCTTCATGGGCCTCCTTGGGTAAGTTCTGTGACAGTCTGGTAAAAMGCACTACCACATGATGTTTTCCTCATCTGGAAGTATCAGAGTAAGGAATATGGTTATGCTCTGTGTCTTGAACAGCTTTACAAACTTTGAACATATTTCTGTCCATCCTTTAGAAATGCTTTCCAGGATGGGATTTACAGTGTAAAGGCTGAACATCTAGATTTCTTCTGTAGTCAGTTGGTGGCAAGATGGTTATCTCCAAATGTGGTTGATTCATTGTGTCCTTARCTGTCTCAGAACTGGATGAATTATCTTCTCCATGATGAATTTGATTTTCATACAACTTCATAAGAGATCTCTCACCCAGCATAGCTTCTGAGAAGTTCTTTGTAGATAAGTGGCTGAGATTTGATGTCTAACTTGGTGTCAGATGAGGTGAATCACTCATTGTGACTGAATTATTCTGCTAATGTGCTATTTACACATATGGTATCGCCTTATATATCTTTTTTCCTCTTAGAACACAAAAATAATCAGACATATAAAGAGGTAAGTCACATAAGCAGCAAGAAGTCAGGGATGAATGAAGAATGTGTGGCATGAGGGAAGTGGCTGTGTTTCACGTTCCAAACATTTTCTCTAGAAGTAATTTTGAAATGGAGAAGCTGTCCTATGGCAGCTGTATAGGACTTGGGTAAATTCTCTTTTAATTTTAGTTATTTCTCACATATTCTGCTTTTGAAAATCTTTATTTAAGCATTTCATTTGTGAAAAGATACGAGCAAGCAAGAAAAAGCTAAGAGTGTGAAGCTCTTGATCTGTCCTTAGAACAAAATGCCATTTGGCATG